CACACACACACACACACACACACAACAAAACCGGGGTGGGGGTGGGGAGAAGACATAACAACTACAGTTCCGTGAAGTTGATATGACAAGCAAACAGAAAGGACATTGTTGGGTGGGAGGGAGGAAAGGGAGGAGGGAGGGAGGTTTCGGTAATGGGCCACAATAATCAACCACATTGTATATCGACAAAATAAAATTAAAACAAAACAAAACAAAACAGCCCCATTTCTTAGTACCTGGAGCATAGAGGGTGCCTGCCAAGCATTAGCTCCTGGACAGGGGGCTGCAGATTCTTAATCCTCACATCTGCAGTGTAGTGCATGGAGAGGGCAGACATCTAGACAAGTGAAGGAGCAAATGAGGGAGTTGGAGCTGGGACGATCCTTGAGAGACCTGTCAAGTGGCTTTGAAACTTGTTCTCAGCCAGTGAAGTGTTTTCTTTTTTAACACCTAACAAGTGTTCCAGTGTTAGTTTCATCCCTAAACAGATAAAACTGCTCTGGTCAAGGCAGGGCTGGAAGTGAGGGTCAGGGCGAGGCTGGCAGCCCCTGATCGTGGGGGCCTTCGTTTAATAAGGGCAGCAAGTGAGCTAAGATGATTCTGCGTGACTGTGTCTCTGCTACTTCTCCCTTCCCCAACGGCTGAGCATTTGGGTAGTTTCCAGTTTTGCATCATTACGAGTAACAGAGCTCTAGGAATTTATGTGCAAATATTTTTCTCCCCAACTCACTTCCTCCAAGGCAGGATTCCTGGAGCAGGAGGTGCTGGCTTTCACTCTCTGTGTTCCTGGTTGCCCATGTCCCAGCAGGGTAGGGGGTGTGCCTGGTCCCTCTGTAGGAGATGGCAAAGGAGTCTGGGTGGGCAGCTGCAAGTTCTCTGCCAGACCACACTTGTCTCTCTTGTCATCACTCTCAACTAAATTTCATTCAAATTTCTTCTGTCAGAATGTGACAGTTACTTTCCGTTTTCTTTTAAGCACAGTGCCCCCTTCTCAAGAGTGACATCCCTTCTGCATTCAGAGTTTGTGTCCCACATTCCTTACCGAACTAGAATGCAACTCTCATTCTGTTACCTCAGCTCCACCACCCTGTTGTGCACCTGGAGGTCTGGTCCATGTCCAGCAGGGGTACTGTGGGGGTTAAGGGGAAAATCAGGCCCTGATCTCAGAGAAAATGCCAGGGCTTGGCCACCAGTGACAGTGTCCATTGGTGGTTGCGAGGCAGGGTGATTACTGATCCAGACACAAGGCTAGGCAGAACCTTGGGGACCTCCCCTAGAGCAGCCCCCTCCTGCCAGCTATGTGTAAGACATTCAGCATGTTCCATCTCCCTACCTGCAGTCCACCCCATGGGCACATTGGCCTGAACTGGATTTGGGGCTAGGGTAGGCAAAGCTGTGGCTACAGACTCAGGCAGACACCTTGCCTTGTGCATGCAGAGGCCCTCCCTGACCCTGCTATCTCAAGCTTTTATTGGCCCCAATTAAGCAAACAGAAGCACCCCAATGTAATATGCACATAATCGCTTATGTCTTCAGCAGCCTATTAGACTTATTAAAAATGATTGATTTTCCTTCCGCAGCCAAGAATCATCCAACCCTCAGCTTTCAAGGGTGTGGTGAAGCTAGCAGTAAAAACCATAACAGGTCTTTTGGACAGCAATATGTTTCATGAGCTACTAAAATGCTCACTCCTTTTGACCAGATAATTATACTCCCAGAACTGTAGCCTGAGGACATGATCTAAAAGAGGAGGAAAGGGCTGTGCTTGTGAACATGTTTACAGCAGTGTTGTTTGTAATAGGAGAAAATGTGACAGCAAGAGAAATGTCAGGATTAAGTAAATTTCAGCCCATCTCTTCCACAGGTTGTTGTAAAGCCACTAAAAAGAGTCATGAAGATAACACTGTATCATGACAGAAGCCTATGAGCAATAAAAGGATGTATCCAGGCTGTGATCAGAACTCTGTAAAATTTTTTCCTGTGGACAGGGATGGCCCTGAAATGTGGAAAAATGACAACGGGTGGTTTATTGAGATGGTGGCTTTTGGGTAACTTTTTTTAAATGATAAATGATTATTTGTGGATTTGATAGTGTTTTTAAGCACAATGCTGGGCACCTCCCTGCCAGCTGCATATATCAGATCACAGCTTTTGGAACCATCCATCCCCTTCTCTGGCATCTTCTGCACCTGTTTCAGAGACAGACACACATACACACATGCACAACACTGGAACAGCAGGGTGTCCTTGCTCATCTTTGGGTCCCTCAGTTCTAAGCTCACAATAAAGTCTGAGTACTTTTTGATTAATTGAGCCATCCTTGGATGTGCCCTTTGTGGCCCTAGTGGCCAAATATTTCTGCCATGTATGTACATTAAAGTTGCTGTCCCATCCCCTTGTTGCATTTCACCTTCCCACCATGATTATTTTTAGGGGTTTGTGTACGCTGCACTGGGAATACGGCAAATGGCCCCAGTCGCCCACCAGATGCTTCATGATTCCAGCACGCTCTGGGCTCTCACGAACCTCCGGCTTCCTTTCCCTTGGTGGTTTTGAGAACATAAATTTTATTGCCAGCTGTGGGTTTGAGTCCTACGCAGAACACCTCCCTGGAGAATTGCAAGAAAGATGTTTTATGGCAATCTCCCTGAAAGTGTCTATTAAATTCCTAAAAATGTCATTTACTGATGTGTTTCTGTAAAAATGATTCCTTAAAAGTTTTGTCAGCTTGGGTTAGCAGCTGGTGGAAAAAAAGCGGCAAAATGAGTCCCCTCAATCAAGCCGTGATTTTTTTTTCAGACTTGTGAGTCCTCCTGAGAATCAGGCTTGTGACAAGCACCTCCCCCTCCACCTACACACTGGTTTAAACCAGGTGCACACTGACAGGAAGGAAGATTCCAGGGCATTTTGCTTCCAGTCACTTGGTGTTTCTAAGTGGGCATTATTCCTGTCACTCCAGGGTCTATGTTGTTCTTCAGACAGGGAACAACTAGCAGCAAGAAGGCCCACTGAATTCCATGGCGCATCTGAGTTGGCGAGTGGGAGAAGGACAGGGTCTCTGGTTGAGGCGAGGTCTCCCATCGTGCTCTCCCTTTGGTGGGTGCTGGACTGAGGAATGCCCACAGCTCAGCCATGGCTGTGGGGTGCTTTCTTCCTAGGCCACTTCCCCCCTGGCCAGTAAGAGAACCAGGGAGGCCCTACTTAGAGACTTGGGGTTCAGAAGAGGAAAGTGAGAGGGCACTGAGAAACAGAGACTCTGCTGCAGAATCTGACCACTGCCCGCCCATTACCTAAATTCCTTTCTGGTTTACTTGGCCTCAAATCTCCCCCTTTGGAGACTGCTTTGCAAGGCAGCACAGCAGGGTAGGAGAGCTGGTGTAGGGCAGTTAGAGCCCTGCGCTGCCCTCACAGATCCTGCACAAGCTAGGCCTCCATCTTCCTCCTGGCATTTACCAGGAGAGGTTCTGCCCAGCCTGGAAAGTGGGTTCCCAGAAGGAGGGACGGAGGTGGGAAGTGGCAGATACGGAACTTCTACCACGTGCAGCCCCCTGGTAGGAGCTTCACCTGCATGGTCATTTAGTCTTCACAGTCTCCCTTTGAGGAAGTTTCAGAAAAGGAAACTGAAGCTCAAGGTGAGGATTCGATCGAGGGCTGTCTGACTCTTCCAGTAGACCATAGTCATATGGCTTCTGCCTGCAGCAGTCCCTCCCCAAAAGGCTGATTGGGCTTAAGCAAGGTGCTGAGGACAAGCCAGTCTGCTTACAGGTTTGGGGTGACCCATGTGTAAAATGAGTCTCCCTGTCTGTCCCCACCACAGCCTGGGAAGGGCCAGGTATCCCCTAAGTCTGCCTGGGAAAGTCAGCAACCTGGTTCTTTCCATCTTTCTCTCACAGTGAGTCCCTGTGGCCAGTCGAGGCCAGAAACGCAGCCATTGCCAATCATTGCTTCACCTGTGCCATCAACCGCGTGGGTGAGGTGAGTCCCTGAGGTCTGGTGGCCCTTGTGGGGTCACATCATACCTCTTCTCCCTGTTCCCCTCTGCAGGTATGCCACAAATCCTAGGGTCCTGGAAGGGGGGAAACCAGGTTGGCCTGTTAATTTTAGTGATATCACTATGTCCTCCTAATTTTTTCTGCTTTTTTTTTTTTTTTTTAGCTAAAACCATTTTGAAATGGTCTTCGAGGGGCAATTCTTACCCTATCACCTCCAAGTGTCTGGTTTCTTATTTTTCCCCCTTGACCCTGTGCACTTAGCAATTTTGACTACCAAACACAGCGCATTTATTACATAATAATCCTCTTCCTCATTCTTATTTATCACAATTCTTACCCTATCACCTCCAAGTGTCTGGTTTCTTATTTTTCCCCCTTGACCCTGTGCACTTAGCAATTTTGACTACCAAACACAGCGCGTTTATTACATAATAATCCTCTTCCTCATTCTTATTTATCAGATGTCAGACTCTAATCAGAGCATCTGATCAGCCTGAGATAACCAAGGTTTTGCACACTAAGTTGATCTGATTTCCGGCAACATAGAGAAACCTGGTGTTATGTTTTTTGGTTTTTTTTTTTCCTTTTTTGGCAGCTGGCCAGTGTGGGGATCCAAACTATTGACCTTGGTGTTATAACACTGTGCTCTAACCATCTGAGCTAACTGACTAGCCTCTAACCCAATGTTTTAATTAGCCTGTGCAAGGGCTGTCCAGTTAGCTTAGTTGGTTAGAATGCAGCCTTATACTTATAAAACCAAGGTCACAGGTTTGGCTCCCCATACAGGCCAGCTGCCAAAAGAAAAACCCATACAGGCCAGCTGCCAAAAGAAAAAAAAAAAATAGCCTATACAACACCATCACAGCCTGCTGTACAGTTTCCAATAGACTGTAGGGAAAATATTGAAAACTGTGTGTGGGTCCCATCCCCACCCCGTTACTGCCTTCACAGACCCCAGGCTGGGATGTTATTACTTCACACAGGCCAACATCTGATTCATTCCACAGCCCTGAGAACCAGCCTGTGCCCAATGTCTTCCTTTTCTCCCAGACTATGAACTCCCCAAAGGCAAAGTCTAGGTCTTTTCCTTGCTTGTCCAATTCCCAGCTGGCTGTCCAGTGCTAGGTGCCCAGCAGGGACATTTAGGAAGTACTTGTTGATTGTCCAGTGAGTACAGACCATTCCATCTCACTTTAACTGTTTCTTAGCTAACCCCGCCTCAGCCTGCCACTCTGGGTCTGGCTAAGTGATCTGGAATGAACGTAGTGGTAGTGCCACCTATAGGTTCCTCTTGCCTTGCTCTTATTTCACAGGAGCACTTCCCGAATGAGTTTACCTCTGGAGATGGAAAGAAAGGTATGTTCCAGGAATTTCTCTGGGGGCTGCAGTTGAGGAGTGGCCCTCACTCTCCTGGGCAGGGCCGGCACCTGAGAGGAGACGCTGACTCTTCTCTGTGTTGCTGCCTGCAGCGTGGGAGGCTGGCTGTGGCCAGGGTGTGGATGGGTAGTCCTGGGCTTGGGGATTGGGTCAGACTCCATCCTTCTCTGGGATGGGTGTGAAGATGGACTGAGGATTGTGGGGGAGCCCTTTGTGAACTCCCTGAAAGGGGGAGGGGCTCTCGTCCAGCCTGCAGACTTCCCTCCTGCCTTCCCTTTGTCCTTGCCCCCCTCATCCATCACCAGATGTACCAATGCCCCACCACGTGGACTGCTTTGGGTTTCTTTTTTTTTTGTCTTTTTTTTTTTTCGTGTCCGGCAACGGATTGCAACCCTCAGTGTCACACCCATACCGGACCGGGACCGGCAATGGGATCGCAACCCTCAGTGTTGCACCCGCACATCGCTCAGCCAGTGAGCGGGAACCGGTCTGTATGTGGGATCCGAACCCTCGGCGGGAGCACCGCCGCACTCCCAAGCGGCGCACTGTAGCAGTGTGCCACCGGGCCGTCCCCCTCCTTTGGGTTTCTAAAGTCCACTGCTTGTTTTGATCTGAGGGCAGGTACCACCTCACCTCTGTTAGGAATCCTTCACCCCAGGTCCTACCTCGCTAACCAAGAATGTGGGAGGAAGGGGCTGCTCCTCTCACCGAGGAGGTGTCTGAACCAGCTCGGGGTGTCCCTTGGGAAGCCACAGGGAACTCAGCAGTTCTGTTTTCCAGGAAAATGCTTCCTGAAAGCGTCCCTGTTGCCCCCACTTGAGGCCCCAGACTCCCAGAGTCTCCAATCCCTGTTAGCTTCCTGCAGATGGAGGTGTGAAGAGGCAGGGAGATGAACGTCCCTTGGGTGCCTGCTGTGTCCAGCCCTGCCGCACCTACTTCTCACATGCCTGGGCCTGTGGGGTGGCTGTTACTTCCCCTGACTGGTGAGGGGATGGAGGTGTGGAGGGAGGGAGGCATGATACAGCTGGCAAGGCAAGGGAGGACAGAGAATCCAGCCCACCATGTGGAGCCACCACAGGAAGTGGGTCACACAGGAAGCCCCCCAGAGCCTGTGGGTGGCTGATGTTGGGAGCCAAGGGCAAGCACCTCTACAAGGGTGACATTTAGAAATTCTCCCAGGGGCAAAGGGGAGCGATGAGAGGGTAACCTTTGCAGCAACTTGCTAGGCCTTCAGGCTTGAGGGAGATGGGCCCTTTGGGCCTCAGCATTTGACAGATGCCAGGGAGGGTGGTGTGGACGCCTTGTCTTGCGTGGCCCTTGATGTGCCTGCCCCTCCACCCAGCCACTATGCATCCACACAAGCTCATGATGCTTTCCTTTGCTTCTTTAAAGCTCACCAGGACTTTGGCTACTTTTATGGTTCAAGCTATGTGGCAGCCCCTGACAGCAGCCGGACTCCCGGGCTGTCCCGTAGTCGGGATGGGCTTCTGGTTGCTGAGCTCAACCTCAACCTCTGCCGGCAGATGAGTGATGTCTGGAACTTCAAGGTGCGTTCTTGGGCCCCCTACTGCTGCTCCACTCCTCTGCTTTGGCCCCCATCCTGCTCTCAGGGCTGGGGACTGCTGTTGCTGGGTTTGTCCTTGGAGGCATGAGGTCGCACGAAGTACCAGCTCCCACCAAGTACCAGCTCCCACTGAGGGCTCCATGTTGAGCATAGGGCTGGGTCTCTGCATCTTTGCTGGCTCCAGGGACTAACCATTGGGTCAAATGATGCACAGACATCAGGCCTCAATAAATTTTCTTCTCATCTGATTTAGATTCTGGGTGCCTCCAAACAAATTAATCTCAATTTCATTTGTCCAGAGAATAGAGTGGATTGGCTTCTCTAATCCTTTTTCCTTTCCAGCCATTTGCACTTATCTCATGATAAATGTGCGTGTCTGGTTCTGCTTGCGGCCAAACCCCACATTCTTGCCCTTGACAATGGTGGGAAATGGGTCATGCAGAGAAATGGAATCTAGGTCTTGCTGTGCCACCTCCTTGCTCGGTGCACTTCAGCAAGCCCCTTCTGCTCCCAGGCCTCAGTACTCTCAGTTGTAAAATGGGACACAACTCTAAGGCTCCTTGCTGCTTTGAGACCTAACACCCTGTGATGTCAGGATTCTGAGAAGTGTAGGTGCCTGGCCTCCTGGGATGGGACAGTGGTAGCCATGGCCAGAACCCCCTGAAGGGCTCATGGCTCCGGAGTTTGCTGTATTAGTGTCCAGCAGTAGTTCTACCAACTCAGCACCCATTTATAAGCAAATCATACATGCAAATAAGTGTCACATTGTTATGACTGGGAGGAACCCAGAGCTTTCAATCCAGCCAGACTTGGGCTCTAGGCCTTGTTCCCCTTGGGTGTGACCCCTCAGTCTCACATCTTTGTCAGGCAAACAGGTGTTGACTGTGTGAAAGTCTCCTGACCTGTCTCTCCTCTAATTGGGCAGGTCAAATTAATGCAGGATTCCACCCAAATCAGAAGTCAGAGCCAAGAACACTGGCTTGACTCTTAACAAGTAGTACCAGGAGCAATAAACAGAATATTTTCTCCTTAGACACTTTTTAGAAGCAGAATCCTTACCAACTGTGATGATAGTCATGAGCTTATGTCGGGGCTTTTGGGAGGAGTCTGATTTGGGAAGGGGGGCGGCATGCCAGGGTGTGAGCACACCCCCCACCCCTCACTATTCTCTGTCTGTGTCCATGAGGAGATGCCACATGGAAGTGGACAGACTCAGCCAGGAGACCCAGGTTCAAATCCCAGCCTTCTCTGCTCCTAGCTGGTGACCTGGAGCAGGTTACTCTCCTCTCTGGGCTTTAGGCTGCTCTTCTGGGGATCTGCAGGACCACAGGACATCCCCCCTCCTGCCTACCCCAGGGCAGCCCACACCATCTGGATGGACAGGTCACAGAGGTCATGGCAGGCGAGGCTGGGCTGTGTGAGTCATCTTGGCATCCTGAACCCGCTGCAGCACCCGGAGTCAGTCCCAAGAGGTCACACAGGGGTTGCTACTTTATATTACAGTCAGCGAAATCATCCTGTCAACCAGCCTTCCTGATGCATTTCTGTCCCGTGGCTGCCCCCCAGTGGCAAGAGGCGGTGGCGGGGAAGGGAGGGGCGTTTATCCATCATGAACCTCTAAAGTACATCTGTGTTTTGCTTCCAGATGACGGGCAGATATGAGATGTATGCGCAGGAGCTTGCTGAGGCTATCAAACCCAACTACAGCCCCACCATTGTGAAAGAATAGCTGGCTTCAGCCCCTGCCTGCCTTAGGGGTAGGGGGGGGCAGAGCACCTCCATCCCCGGTGGATTACCAAGAGTGGCAGGCTTGGCAAGTTTTCCCTGATAACGTTGTTGCCCAGATTGGTTTTAAAATGCCCAGGCAGGGGAGGGTGGGGTGGGGAGTGACTGCTTAAGCGGTACAAGGTTTCCTTTGGGGTGATGGAAATGTTTTGATCGAGGTGATAGTTACACAACATTTTGAATGTACTAAATGCCAGTGAATTAATTGTACACAGTACAGTAGTCCACCCTTATCCATTGTTTTGCTCTTTGAAGTTGTCCATTGTTTTGCTCTTTGAAGTTTCAGTTACCTGCAGTCAACTGTGGTCTGAAATATGAAATGGAAAATTCTAGAAATAAACAATTCATAAGTTTTAAATAGTAAGCTGTTCTGAGTAGCATGATGAAACCTCCTGCCGCCCAGCCCTCTGTATACGTTATCTGCCTGTTAGTCATTGATATCTCCTGCTCCCAACATCCAGCCATTGGCATCATCTTGGCTCAGAGATCCAGGATCATCCAAAGCAGATGATCCTCCTGATGTGTGGTCAGAGGTTCAATAGTAGTCTAACACTACATCATGTATCTGCATCACTCACCTCACTTCATCTCATCATGCAGGCATTTTATCTCACATCATCACAAGAGGCTGAGTACAGTACAATAAGATATTTTGAGAGAGAGAGTTACCACATTGTGGCAGCTTCATTCACTGGCCCAGCAGCCGAACTGCATAAGCAACCCTATGTCAGGGCTGGGGTGCTCCTGGACAGCCCCTGGGATGAGAAAGCCTAATGGTGCTGCTTGGCCGTAATTCTGAGTTAACCTCGCTCTCTGTGTTTCTGGTTTTCACCTTGCCTAGTGGCTCTCTTTGTACCTAATTTTTTCATAGAATCCAGCCCTGCAGACAC